CGTTGACATCCCCTGCTTTGTTCATCATCGTCGCCCCATCACCATCAACATCGAACGAACAGAAAGAGGCCCCTTCGTTTTCACCAAACTTCGACGACAACAACCATAATGATTATAATCACAATCAACGAAATTAGAACCAACCGATCGTTGAATTCGAAATCGAAAACGATTAACGGTTCGTCTTTGGCGGAGAATAGGTAGATCCAACTAACCGATGATGAACATGAACATGATTACGATGATTAGGTAGATAATTGGGGTTAAGCTGAAGATGAGTAAGGAGAGTTCCAAGAAGGAAAGAGGGAGAGGGAAAGAGGAGAGGGTGTCATTGAATCCGATGGGAAAGAATATCGGGTGAGGTTTGTTTAAATGGGGTTTTTTATTTTCTTTTTGCTTTTTATGTTATATTTTGTTAAAGAAAATATGAAATAAATTAAATATGGTATAAAAGTCTTTATAGGTGGGTGAGGGTCCAACCATGATCGAAATTGAAAACCATAAGGACCTTCCAGGAAGTTTTTTGAAGTTAGAGACTAAACCCCAGATTGTGAGAAACCACAAATACCATTTATGAAGTTTTGTCTAAAAACATTTAAAACTAGAATATAATTAAGGGGGTAAAAATGAAATATGATTAAAGAGAAAAGGGTTAGATGTATAAAACAATATATATATATATATATATATATATATATATATATATATATATATATATATATATATATATATATATATATATATATATATATATATATATCGAGTGGTTAATAAAAATATACAAAAAAAAATTATATTCTACAATGGTAATAAAGTGGTGATAAGTGATCAATTGAATAGCAAAAAGTTATAAAATAAACTCTCATTTGAAATGCTTTTATGCAACCATCAAATGGTCAAAAATGCTGTCAAATTACTGCGTTAAAATATTTTCTTTAAACAACATTAAGGTGGTAATTTTCGATATGATCCACGATACGACCCGAATTCGATACGAAGATAAACAGGTTTGAGTTAAGTTTTTGTGACCAACCAACCTGTTTAGTATACGGGTCGTCTTCGGGTTTGCAAATAATTTCGCGAGTTAACCAGTGAACCCATTTATTTTATTAGATAAAAAATATATTTATTAAATATAGGGGTGAGTAAAGACTAAAGTAAATATGTAATATTTAGATTATTTCTCATGATCCACCAACCCAATTCTGACCTACAAACGTAAATCTGACCCATGGACCCAAAAATGAACCACGTACCCACAAACCCGTATAAATGGGTTACACGGGTTGATTTGTTTGTGGGTAATCTGGGTTAAGGTTAAGCATGATGATACGGATGTTTATATGGGTCGTATTCGGGTTGAGTTTTTATGATTTGCCAACCCGACAAACCGAACATTACACGATTGTCACCCTATTTACACTTCGCTAAATCCAAAACTATATCCACCCAACCTTGCAAGTACTTAAAATATGGTCCATTAGTTCATGTATAGAATATGACAAATTATGTAAACATCTATTAACAAGATTTATTCTTATATATATAATCTTTTTAACCACCCAAAAAATATATTCTAAATTTTGCTAAAGAAAATAAAGCATGTTTGTGTTGTGATTAGAATAACATATAAATATTACAATTATGGGAAAAAAACAAAGGAATATAATATAATATCTATTTTTATAACAAGAGTATCACACTTTCCACAATTTGTCCAAAAGTCTTATCCTCACGAGGTTGATTCAATTTTTTGTTATTTGTGTCGAGAATATGGTGACACAAATTAAATTCATGGTCAAATCGGTACATCGACCAAATCTTTAATTTAGAATCTACCATATTCATTCGCAGTTATTTTATTTTATTTTTTCTAATTACAAGTAGTTTAAAAAAAATTCAAACCTATTTTTTTACACCACTCTACTTTATAAAATGAAACTTTACACCCAATTATTGTCTAAAATGTTTCTTTCATTCCTTTAACTTTTAACGTTCTAAAATGTTATTTTCACTCGTCTTATTTTCTAAACTTTTGTGCTTACCATCCGTAATATATATAAAATCTGATTTTCCTAACATTACCATCCCTCAACTATCAAAATGTCATTCTGACCCTCGACTCTGAACTTTGTATAATGTTACATTAACCCCCCTCAACTTTCTTAAGTTTAGTGTTTATCTAATCCATCGACAATTACTGTAACTCAATGTTGTAAAATGTCACTTTGACCCCATCGACTTTGAACTTTATAAAATGTCACTTTCACCTTCTCGACTTTTTATGTGTCAATATGTTCTAAATAACGTAAGACGTGACTTTGGCGGCAATGTCAAACCTTAAGTTTTTACGAGCCTTGACGAACCACGTCGTTTGTAAGGCGTGACTTAAGACGACATTTTTGTATATAATTAATATATTTTATATGTATTTTCCACTATTTTTTATTTTTATATACATATATAATTTAAGGCGGCATTTTGTTAAAGCTTGACGGCTATACAAGCTTTAGAGTCATGGCGTGTCATGGCGAAGCCATGACGAAATTTTTAGAACCTTGGTCAATATTCATTTGAGTTTGTCTATGTTTTTACATAATTTTTTTTTTACATTTTCCTACTTATTTTGATGTACACTTCCTACGTATGAGTGAGGTAAAATATAATACATTTTTGAGTATTTTAACACTCCGTTTGTTAACTTAAAAAAATATAATCTTACTTAGTTATTTTTATATACGTGTCGGTATAAATTCGAGTTTCTTTACATTTCGACGTCATTTTTGTGTATGTTTTCGTGCTTATTTTCATGTACACTTTCTACGTATGAGTCGGCATACATATAGTACATTTTCATTTGACGGTATAAATTGGAGTTTGGTAATGGTACCAACATTGTATATTTATCTACCAATAAATACAACGATAGCTAACTCTTATCAATACAAGCGACCAAATTCAATTTATAAAATGGATTTGCCCCGCTGCAATGTACGATGCTGCAATGTACGATGGGCAAGAAACTAGTTTAATATAAAATTGAAATGTTATAATGTTTCGAATGAGATTTTGGTGACATCCTTAGACATAAAAATCTTATTTGTATGCATGGGCGGATTTATACGTTGCACGGGATAGCACGAGCTACCTTTTAAATTTTCCCGTCAAATGTAAATTTAGTGAAAATTCCTCAAAAATCCGTCACAATCCGTTTGAAATCCGTCACGAATCCGTTGACAACCCATCATAAAGTCTGATAATTGTGAATTTAGTGTAAATTCGTTAGTTTATTGAAAATTTTTTTGACGGAAACTGTTTTCTAAAATTAGTTTTTTTTAGCAATTCAACCTCTGACTTTTTTTTTCTGGATCCACCCCTGTTTGTATGAACATTAAAATTCTTTAAATTATTAACTAAACCATTATATTAATTCTCAAAAAGAACTAAAAAACATAGGACTAGCAAAATTATACCATGAACAACCAACCAACATGTTACCAACCGAACCAAAAAAATTGGTAGCCAAGATAATTGGTAGCCAACATATTTGGTTGGTAGTACCGTACCAATTGAGCAATGTTGGTACGGTAATTGTACAAAAGTTAGAATACCATGGTAATACCGTACCAACCAATTCATTTATTATATATATATATATATATATATATATATATATATATATATATATATATAAACAAAATCGTATATTTCAACTGCTAATTGTGTTTAGTGTTTACATTTTTAAAAAAATTATACAATACATTTGGTCGCATTAGTCAATAGTTATTACCACGTTAAAGCACAAACTAAAAACGTTACTTCAATAGAATTATTTTGTAAACTAAAAGAACTACATAACTATTTTCTATACCATTACCAAGTTGTACCAACCAAACTTGTTGGTAGCCAACTATATTGGTACCAAGTATACTTGGTACGGTACCGGTAGTAATTTTTTGTTACCAATTATAGTTGGTACGGTATACGGTTTAGAAAAAAAATGAATTGGTACCGTACCAATTTCACCCCTAAAAAAACAGCAACTATTTGATAACATACACACGCCTTTATTTTTTATAGGCAAAAGAGTTGGCCACCGGCTGACGTCAAGCTTTGTATATTCATTTAAATCTGTTATTATATTTGATTAATGATTTTGTGTAAAAACTAGGAAGCACACATCACCATTGATCGCCATAAAAAACGACAACCCAAACGGGCAACCCAAATTTTGACTTTAAATTTTTTTGGAAACTGCTAAAGATATTATTAAGGGTCCTCATTTAGCGAGAAACTAGATGAAGCCCACCAGAAAAAAGAAAGCAATTTTGACTTTAAATAAAGTGGAAAAATGGACATATAGTAGTCAATGGCGGATCAAATAAGATACCAACACTTAAAGTAGAGGGGTGAACACTATAATTTATGATCAAGCGGCAAGAAAGAAGAACATGAGAAAAACAGAGATTAAGAAAAACAATGAAGGGGTATTTTCATCTAACGTTTTTATTGAACTCAAAAACTCATCATACAAAATTCAATAAACTAGAAAAGAAAACAAACAAACTAATTAAGTTTATCTCTAATTTACAGGAAATATATATATATATATATATATATATATATATATATATATATATATATATATATATATATATAGATGTTGGTTCCTTTGAGATAAAAAAAAAATTAGAGATTGTGAGATATGTGTATAACCGTTTGATGTGCTTATGTTTGTTTCTGAAACTATGCGGTGACATATTTATAATTATATTGGTAACTTATTAAACTAACGTCGTTAATTTACGATTGTGGGACTATTGTTGTAATTTTACAAAGATTGAAATGAATTTTGCAGGCTACGATACTGTAACCGCCTATTGTTTTCTTTTCTTTCTCGATCAAAGTCTCACTTCGAACTCTCAGGAAACCCTCTTTTTCTTTCTTTATCGTATTTTGCCCTAGTTTTCGTTTCTTACCTGTTATTGAGAAATCAGTAAATGTCTTCAGGAGAAAATATAAACGAAGTCGCATGTTCGTTAATCGAAATGAAAGGTTAGAATGCGAGTTATTTTTTATTTTATTGATAATGCATGTTTTTATTAATTAGTTAACTGTCGTTTTATGTTGATAATGGTGTTTTTTTGTTTTGATTCAGTAGGTTTTTCGTCATTTTAACTTGATTTTGATGATTGTCTCGTTTAGAGTTGATATGTTTTTTATTATGTTTGTTTGTGGTGGTTTTTGATGTAAGTTTTTGTTTATATTTTCACAGATAAGGATTTCAAAAGAAACTATGTTCGAAAAAAATTCAAAAATCAAAAAAATATCGAATACGGTAGAAGTGATGTTATTTCCGAAGGTACAGTTCAAAAAAAACCATCTATGATTAGAAGTAGAAATAAACATATAACTTAATGTTTGAAGTTATTTGTTGTAATCATAACTGATTTTTTGATTTTTCCAGTGTATTGAACATAACATTTAATTATATGTTTATTTCTACTTCTAATCATAGATGATTTTATACGTTTGTTTATAATCATTGGTAAATAGTAATGATAAATGTATTTTTATGTATCAAACATGAATATAAAGTTATTTTTGTAATCATAACTGATTTTGTGGTTCTTTTAAGTGGATTGTATATAACATTTAGTTGTATTTTTATTTATTGTTCTAATCATAAATGATTTTATACGTCTGTTTATAATCATTAGTGAATAGTAATGATAAATGTATGTTTTATTTTTTACTAACACTATGTTTGTAATGAAAATTGTAGTTAAAAAAGGGAATGTAGATAGCTCAAGGAAGACACAATCATCTTCCAAAAGAGAAAAGGCGAATGAGGTGTCGCAAACACGTTCAAAGACATCCAAAAAAACAGTTATTGAACAACCAAAAGTGAAGCTGAGGGTTAAGGTCAAAACTGTAAGTAAGAAACGTGAACTATCTGATGAAGATGATTCAGATTTTCAGAGTCGTCCTGGATCTTCAAAGAAACCAAAGAGAGAAACTAAAGTTTTGAAGAAATATAAAAAATCTGTTGTTATAAAAGAATTTCCTTCATTGAAGAATAGATGTTCACCCGGGTCATTGTTGGGTGTTATTCAAGGTTTAAGTAGAGAACAGAAGGATTGTGTTAGGGCTATGGGATTTGGGAGTTTGTTAGGGATGAAGATGATTGACGTACCGTTGAAGATTGTTTATTATGTTCTTGATCATTTTAATTTTGAATCTTTGAAGGTGGAGTTTGATAATTGTGAAGTTAGTGTTGATAGTAAGTCTGTTCAAGAGATGTTAGGATTACCATCTGGTGGCTCATTACTTTCAAACATGGATTACATTTCGGAGAATAATGAAGAGAGCTGTATGTTTGAGTGGAAGAAAAGTATGAAAATATTGATAAATTGAGATTGAAACAGCTAAAGAATGAACTTGTTCAAACTAGTGTTGCGGATGACAACTTCAGAATCAATTTTTGGTTCTTTTTATTAATACTTTCTGTGAGTCTACAAGCATGGGTAAATGTAATCTGAATCCATTGTATTTAATCAGAAGAGATACTGATTTAAGTAGCATTGACTGGTGCGATTACATTGTGGATTGTTTGGTAAGGACGAAGAAGGTTTACAACCCAGAGAAAGAATCTTCTTTCTTTTATGGACCAGCAGCATACCTTATGGTACGTGAGTTATTTTTTGATATTTATTATTCTTTTTAGTTGTAAAAATATGTTTGTTTTTATAATAAATCATATATGATTTTATTACATATAATCATATATGATTATGTAGTATAATTTTTGTTTAATTATATATTACACATCAAAATCATATATGATGTTATATATGTTATGATGTTATATATGTTTTTTGTAGTTGTTGTATGTGGATACTTTCAAGTTTGATCATTTGCAAGTCACACGTAAACGTCCAACTATTTTTTATTGGACGTCAGAGAAGATAAGGTTTCTTGAGGATATTTTACAAGAGAGTGGAGGATTTGGATGTGGACATGTTAATGAAGCATATGTTGAAGAAGAATTTCAAGAATCTGAGTATAATGAGGAGGAATCTGGTGGTGATGAGGTTGAATCTGATGGTGAAGAGGATTTATGTGATGAGGATGAAGAAGATTTTGATGTTAATAAAGTTAGTGATGTGGAGGTAATTCTATAGTTTTATTCATTTATGATTTAATTAGTTTATTCATTTATGACTTTTTATGTTTAAGTATTTTAGTTGTAAGTATCTTTTTTCTTATGTAGGTGTATGAAAGTAAAATTTCATGTATGTATCAGAAGATGGAGGATTTGAAAAAGGATCTTGTTGTAAAGATAGATGAGGGAGTGTTGAAGTTTCCTCAAAGTCAAAATTTGAAAATTGGAAATTATTATTTCCTGTTGAAGATTTAAGCACAGAAAGTTTTGATTTCAATTATGTTTCACAAAAATATAAAGAACCGATATTAACACCTGGTTTTGTTCAAGTTAATGATGAAGATTATGGGAATGATTTTCTTAATGATGATGAAAATGTTGAAGATTATGATCAAGGGAAATGTTCTGGTTGGTCAGGGGGATGGAAGTGATCCACATGAGGGCAATATTGGTAAAAATCATGTTGAAGGTAAAGGTGATGATGATGAAGATGATGAACAAGGAAATGGAAGTGGATGTGATAAAGAAGAGGCCATGAATTTAAATTCTGTTGTCGAAAATGTTACTAAGAGTGTGGGTCTAATTGATAGCCAGGAAGGTGTATCTTTTAGTCAATTTATTTGCGATCCAGTTGTTGAAAGTTTTCTTAAAACTTTGGATCAAGGTAGGCATATTTTATTATTATATATACTTTAATCATATATGATTTTAATTTTTTATATTTGAATTTTATAGGTACTGATGGTTGTTTAAATCAGAAACTAGTTGAAGATGATGTGAATTTGAATTTGACTGGTATTGATGATGGTAAGTATTTATTTATGTATTTTTAATACATAAAATATATATAAATATGTTATATAGATGATTCATTTATGATTTTAATAATTTAGGGACTGTAAATTTGGGTGAGGATGATCATAAAAATAAAGATGGAGGTAATTTGTTTATAATTATTGTTTATTCATATATAATTGTGTTTATAATTATTGTTTATTCATATATGATTTTTATAATTTTATTGGGCAGAAAATGTTGAAGATTGTTCAAATAAAAACAAGGATTCAAATGAGACTCGATCATTGAAAAATGATATTGTTCCAAGTTTTAGTCTTGGATTTAGTCAAGATTCTGAAGGTTCCAAGAAGTCATCTCAAAGTCAAATTTCTTCTGAACGGATGACAAAGAAAAAGATTAAGGATAGAGTTATTTTGGGAAAACCAAGTGTTGGTCCAGAGTGTGTTATTCCAAATGTTGATGTTATTGATGCTAGTCCAGTTTCTTTTGCACCCCCTTTGGGTACATTAGAAGGACCATCAAAACCTGTTTCTGGCAAACCTAAAGATATAAATGAAGAAGCAACATCAGTAGTGGATATCAAAGGAAAGAGACAAATGAAGTTTTCTTATGTTTATAAGTCACCATTTAAGGAAAGGTTAATTGATTTTAAACCTAGTTTGACACAAGTAGAAAATGTTGTTTGTGAATGGCTTTTCAATCTTCAAGGAAATCCAGGGTAATTTTTTTAATATAATTTTTTATTTTTATAATTATAATTTTTTATTTTAAATAACATTTAATTAAATATATACAGGGATATTGTATTGCTTATGGAAACAGATGTTATTGGTTTTAGAGCTAATTATGAAAGTCTTTTTAAAAAAACCCATTTGCATGTTAGTGTTCTTGATTCATGGTCTCGTATACTAAATCATCAAGAGAAATTCAGAGATGTTGTTAATTCTCCACTCAGATTGTTCATGAATTCTGACACTGTAAGTTTTTATTTTATTCTTTGCTTTTCATATGTTGATAATCATTAATAATTTTTTTATTAAATATTTACATGTTATTATATAATCATTTATGATTTTCTTATATTACAGACTTTGTCATTTGAATATACTCATTTGAATGAAACTGCAAAATATAAAGTTTTCAAGGACAGCTTCTCTCGCAGTGTTTCTGGTGATAGAGACTTGAAGGTTTTGAAGGATGTTGATATGGTATATTTATTTTTTTATACTTATATATATATATATATATATATATATATATATATATATATATATATATATATATTATACATGTTGTATATATATATATATTAATATTTTATTTATAATATTATACATGTTGATGTTAGGTATTTTTCCCGGTTTTGAGGCATAAGCACATATATCTTATTGTTATGAATCTGAAGAAACGTGCTTTTGAGGTTATCGATAATGGTGCAGATGATGCTGATTTCGATGATAAGTATGGTGCAGTTTTTAAACCTCTTGTAAGTTTCAAATGATATTTATTCTTTAGATTTGAAATCATATATGATATGTTTTATAATTATTATACTTATATTTTTCTGACTTGAAATCATATATGATTTTCAGAAAAAGTCTTTTTTGAAGTATCTAAAAGAGATCGATCATGTTAAAGCAAATGAAATGGCTGATAAAAATCTTACTCCAGTAAGATTGACAATGCCATGGAGGACAGTTTATAACAAAGTGGATTGTGGAGTTTTTGCTATGAGACATATGGAGAGTTATTTTGGAGAAAAAGGTTCTAAATGGAAATGTGGTCTTCCAAAAGAAGGTGGTTCTCAAGAAAAAATTCTGGAAAAGTTGAGAATGAAATATGCAGCAGCAATTTTAACTTCTGAGATTAATACAAAGCGTGATGATGTGTTGAAAGCTGCATATGAGTATCAAAAAGTTGATCAAAAGATTCGTGGTAAGCATTCATATGATGCTCAATGGAATATAGAAAGAAGGCTGTCAAATTTTTTTTGATTGAATATTTTCTTATTGATGATGTTATAAGAACAAGTTTGTTTATGTTGTGTATGTTATGGATATTGTGAAGAATGTTTGTTTTTATGATGATGGAAAACATGGTGATGGAAAACAAGTCAATATGTATTTTGGTGGATTTTATTATGTAAGTTTGTTTGTGTGAATTATGTTATTGAATGTTAATCATAAGTGATTATGTTATATTTTTATATGTAATTTATGTTTTTAGTATTGATTATATGTTGCTTATATGTAATCATTAGTGATTGTATCGATTATTTTTTTATGTTTTTGTAATCATAAATGATTATATTTGTTGTACAACACATTATAATTTATTATATCTTTTTCTTGATAAGTGAGCTTATCTTTACTGCATGGAATACATCACCATGCAGAATCTTATCTTTGTAAGATTTTAGTTTTGTTTTTTAGTGTTTGTATTGAAGAATCTTTTCTTTATAAATGAAAACTGATTTGTACAACCATATATTGTATTTTTGATAAGTGATTATGTTTGTATAAAGGGGTAGCCTCGTGCTACCCCTTATATTTCTTCAAAGATGAGTCCTTATACTTCCAAATGGTTAGTTTTGTTTATTAATTTCTTCAATTTTTATATATCACCATTATTTATTTATGATCTAAACAACTTCCATTTTGTTTCAGGTAAAATATGGAGTCTATAAGTCTAAAAGAACTAATTTTGTTGTATCTAATAACATGTTCCCCATTTTTTCAAGATTCTTGTTCTTTTATTTGTAGCTAGATTTTCATACAGATTGTAGCTGACTCCAAGAACGCCTCTTCCACCATTACTTAAAAAGTTTATCTTCATTGAACATATCAGATCTTTACTAGATGTCTTTGAAGTAGAGGAATGTTGTTCATTTAAAGAATATTTCTTTTTAATGAACAACATTTCTCTACATCAGATATGTAGTAAAGATTTGTTATGTTCAATGGAGATAATCTTTCTAAGTAATGGTGGAAGAGTTCTTGGAGTCAGCTACAATCTGTATGAAAATCTAGCTAGGAATATGAAGAACAAGAATCTTGGAAAATGGGGAACGTGATATTTGAGACTTGTGAAATTGTTTGTTATTGAAGATTTTATCATGTTTGATGTTATTCTATGATGATGAATATTGTTATCTTTAGATTTTTTATGAGCAGTGTTGTATATTTGTTAGGAACGATGTTGTTGTATATGGTTATATGTAATGGTTAGATGTTTTTTATGTGTAATCATATTTTTAATCACTTATGATTAAACAAAACATATGAAGTAGTATTACATAATATTTTATGATTATACAGATGAATATTGTATATGGTTATGTGTAATGATTACATGTATTGAATAATAGTTATATGTAATCTTAAATGCTTGTAGTAACATTTAATAAAAGTTTAATCATGAATGAATATATTATCAAATCAAAGAAAGAATTATCAAAGTAGATTAAATCCAGTAGACAAAATCATAGTAAATTCTGTTTTATAAAAAGAGTAAAGTGTACTAAACAAAAAGTATATTATTTTGAAAAAAAAATTATGACTTATTCATTACTGATTAAAGCAGTAAATATCTATGTAGCTTTTGATGATTGTTCTGCTGCAAGTTTGATTGGGCATGTCCGCAAGTTATGAGGAGCCCTTTCTCCACATCCTGAGCATCTTCTTGTTTGCTTGTTTGAATTTTTATACGCTATTTCTGCTGCACTTTGAATTCTACTTTTCTTTCCGCATCCTTTATTGCTTTGAACATTTGGAACATTGATGTCAATGTCTTTTGGAATAGATATGCCCATAAGCTTTCCTACCTCTTCAACATCTGTCCTATTCTTCTGCAATTCATTTGTAGGATCGTTTTCATATTCCTTCAGCATGCTTTCTGTTTTCTTAACAAACAAATCCATTTTTTCTTTATTTTTTCTTACGTATTCCAAACATGCTTCAAAGTTGTAGTATGCTTGATTGACAGATCTGTTAATTTCACTGTCTCCTGTATCATATACATGTCTACCAAAATTATAATGCCTTGATATCACATCCTTTCTCCAACGATTCTCAATGTACTGTTCAGGTATCTCCTTAATTCCATGTTTCATGAGTATGTTGAATGCATGTCTGCACAAAGTCCCAAAACGGTTGAAGTGTTCACAAGTACATTTTACATCATTGGTTGGAAGTTTTATTTCTACCAGTTCAAAAGCGGTTAAAGCATTAAGTGTTTTATAATCATAACTGAATATTTTTTTATATTATGTGCTGATTCAACAAAATTTAAAATAAGAATATATTACCTCAAATTCTGTTTTTAGATCATTGTTTTTGTTCAGTTGTTCCACTTTGTATAACTCCCATCCATTTTTTGTTCCAAGATGTTCGTATTGGCAGTACCAGGAACCTTTATAGATTTCTTTCTGTACTTCATAAAACAATGTACTTGTATAAACTTTTGCAGCATGTTTTTCTGTTGGTCGTGGTGAAATAAATTTATATACCGCCTTCTTTGTTTGATGATCAAGCTCCTGTTGTGTATTTCTTTGTTTTTGAATTGCTGTGTCATAGTTCATCATGAAATGTAAAAGTAAATTTCCAGATTGAGAGTAAGTGTTGAAGAAGGAATTCATGCTTTCTGATCTTGAAGTGGTTTTCATCAATCCATACATTCTTGTGTCACTGAAGTATGCAGGTATCCATTTGTCACGTAATTCAAACATATCATTGAACCATCTTTTATCTTCCAGATTGAATTCATTAATAATCAAATCCCACTTCTTTTCAAATTCATCAGGTTTGATATGCATGTTCCAAACAAGCTTGTTAAATCTTTTCTTGAAGTCTTTGTTTTTAAATAAATCGCCAGTAACCTATGAATGAACAACTTTGCTTATATAAGTATAAATTATATACCTATTTGGATATATCGTATATGAGTAATCATATATGATTAATCATATATGATTACTGTAATGTAGGATATATCATGTATGATTAATCATATATCATATATGTACTGTAATCATATATGATATATGAGTAATCATATATGATTACTGTAATGTAGGATATATAATGTATGATTAATCATATATGATTAATCATATATCATATATGTACTGTAATCATATATGATTAATCATATATGATTATATATGATTAATCATATATGATTATATAATCATATATGATTAATCATATATCATATATGTATGATTAATCATATATGATTAATCATATATCATATATGTACTGTAATGTAGGATTGATCATATATGATTAATCATATATTATTATATAATCGTATTATATAATCATATATGATTATATAGTGTATCATCATAATCGTAGTATGATATATGATAACTTATATTATTATAATCATATATGATTAATCATATATAATCATATATGATTAATCATATATAATCATATATGATTATATAATCATATTACTAAAATACTTAATTATATATCATTATATCAATCATATATGATTAATCATATATGATTAAGTATTTTAATAATATGATTATATAATCATATATGATTATATACTATATTATCATATTACATACTATGTAATCATATATGTTTATACAGTAAGTATGGTATCTGATAATTCATATTATTAGAATAGTTAATCATATATGGTTATATAGTATGATATCTGATAAGTCATATATGAATCATCTGTCATAATACTATATAATCATGTATGATTATATAATGTATTTTTATTATACCTTTGCTTGCAGTTTTTTCATTATGTGCCACATGCATAGTCTGTGTCTTGAATTTGGTAGGACAGATTCCACTGCTTGTTTTATTGCTGCATCTTGATCAGTTAGAACAATTTTTGGTGCTTTCCCTTTATGAGCTCTAAGAAAAGCTTTAAGCAGCCATTCATATGACTCAATTGTCTCTCTACTCAGCAACCCAGCACCAAAAGGAACTGATTTCTTGTGGTGGTCAACTACTGTGAATGGAACAAATACCATTTTATACCTATATAAAGAAAATGTGTTTAGTACAATCATATTTGATTAATAGTATGTTTGAATTTATATACATTAACTTACTTGTTTGTTCTAAAAGTTGCATCAAAAGATATAACTTCTCCAAACTCTGCATAAAAAGCCTTTTCTCTTTCATCTGCCCAAAACATAGCAGCCAACAGATCTCCATCACGTAGGAACTTAAATGAATAATTTGGGTAATGATCTCTACGATCATTCATTTTGTTTATCATTATTTGAGCATCCTTGTAACATAAGATTCTATTTACTCCTCTCCTCAAGTTTTTGTAGTCTGTTACCTTCGCCCCCTACATATTCATATCCTCCTTTCAAAACTACTCGTATTTTGTGAGCCATTGAGGGACCAATTTTAGCTTTTGATGCACATACTACAAACTCTTTTTCAGAATATGACATCTTTCTTGCCTTTTTCGTATAAGGTCTTTCCTCGATACTTTCCAGTGGGTGGTTGTGCATTTCAAAGAATTTCTTAACTTTGTAATCTGTTGTTCCATAAACATTTTCAAATATAATCTTTGTTGTACACCCAGTAATTATCTTGTTTGAATTTGGTTTCCTCTTGACAGAACTTGTAGCCAACGTATCACAAGGTTTTGGTTTATCCTTGCCACCCCTATTGCATATAACATATTTTTTTTTATTATTTGGCTATTGTATTTTGATTGGCTACTCAGTCTTGTATGAAAACCTGCCATTTCTGCATAATCCGTATACATTTTTACTGCCAAATTTAGTGATTTGACAACACTGTTTACAACTGGTACAAATTCTGTAGGGACATCTGGTTTATATTCAGATTCTTCAATTATGTTACTGCAATATGATTCATTTGTTGAATTGGAACTTTCACCTGATAAAAGAAGGGAATGACAAATATGTTATTATATAATTTTATGTTGTAATAATCATATGTGATTAACGATATGTATTTATATTTTAGCATAAAAAATCATATATGCTTTTAGATATTAATATATTATTAGATGTTAAATCATATGTATTTCTACATTGTATTATATGATTGATCATATAATATACTGTGTAATCATAAATGATTATACGTATTAATTTATAAATAATCATACTTGATATTGTTTAATCATGTATGATTAATCATATGTATTTGTAGTTTGTAATATATGATTAATCATATTTTATGATGTATGATCATTATATGATTATTCATCCAAATATAATATTAATATAGATTTCAATTTGAAAACATATATGATAAATCATAATTACAAACTATAAATACATATGATTAATCATAGATACGAACAGTCATATATGATTATTCATCCTTATATGATTAAATCACATATTGTATTGTATAATCATATATGATTTTTCATAATTTATATTGTATAATAAAAGAATCAGAATGAAGTGTAGAAACTGTAATGTAATATGTAGTATTAAAACGAATTAGTTGTACCTTCAATATGAATCGTATTTTGAAGTTCTTCAGAAGTGAAAGAAATTGAATCGATTTGTTCGTCATTACGAGATGAATTGATTTCAGCTATAATAGTATCAGTTGCGATCGACTTGTCAATTTCTTTTGGATTCGACATCAATTATGAAAATTGATTTTGATTCAATTTTCAAATGCTTTGTTTATGATTGCGAGGTGCTTGTTTCTTCGATTTGAGGATTGTATCTCGTATTTATGAGGATATGAACTGATGCTCTGTTTCGATCGTTTTTTTGATTTGAAGATTGCGATTAATTTGATAACAGATTCAGTAAAAATAGGATCTTTTTTATTATATTGAATAATTGTTGAAGATTGGATGATATGATTACGTGACTGATACTAAAAATCGATGATTTAGCAATATGATGATTTTTAGAGAAGGAAGGTGTCCGCTTTCTGAACATTAATTTGAAGTTTACTGTTATACCCCTTAATCATTTAAAAGTTGACGTTAGCTGACGTTAAGTTCCATTGGCTGATATTTAATCTCACAATCTCTAATTTTTTATTAATCTCAAGGGAACCATCCCCTATATATATATATATA